AATAATTTGTCAAGATGGGTACCATTTTAGGCGAGGTTTCTATGTTTGGATTTTATTAGATACGATAAGAGCAGATATTTCTACATAAATATTTGATATGTGTAGAATAATATGATAAAATGTAGGCAAAAGTGGTGAAAAAGGCAGACACCAACCCATACAATAGATATAAGATAGTTCAATAATAAAAAGCCTATTTTAAGAATTGCTGTGATAAAAGGATTTTCCACTGATTTCGTAATGGAACGTTATATTGCAAAACATGACATGATAAAGAAGAAAATTAATTTTAAAATCAGAAAATAACATAGCAAATACTTATTTGGTAGAATTCAGTAACTCCCGATAAATGTGTGTTGTTTGAAATACAATTTAAAAATGAACAGCTGTTTCATTAAAAAGTATTATTTACATGGCCAAAATGTAAACAACTCTGTGGAGGGATCTTTAAAGGCTTCTGGGGCAGAGTTCTAAGGGATTTTGCTTAGTTTTTTCTTTTGATAACTCATCTACAGACCAAGACCCTTCATTGGACACCTCTACAGAGTTTCTACGCCCAGCCGTTCTCTCAAATTAGTGGCGACAAAGTTTCCAATTAAATATTTAGATTCCCCCATGTTAATCTTATGGGAGAAACTCCAACTTTGATGGCCAGTGGGGCAAAGCCTGAGGATTTCTATTACAGGAATTGGTGAAAGGGGGCGTCTACACAAAAAACACTTTATTTTGACACGTCCTTTGTAAAAATCCGTCTATTATTAACGGAGGAGTTGTGTTTCGTAGAAATCGCCTTCACGTGTTATATGTAAGGATTATTCCTCACAAATGTTATCTCAACAGGTGTAATATCTGGGTTTGTTGCTCCTAAGGTCAGGTCCTAGTGATAAGACGGTCAGATGTATCAGGTTGACAGGGGGTGGGGTGGGGATCCATACAGGAAATTACTGCAATGAGTCAAGTGGTGTCTAAGTTGCTTGATGACTATCTTGATGTGGTTAAGTCCTTACTTTGTAATAATTATTGTTATTCTTTTTTTTAAAGAGGTTGAGTGGTCAAATGATTGATAACTGATAAATAAATAATAATAAAAGTTAAATGATTGTGCTTTTAGTGTCCTCTTCAACAATATATTTGGTTAGTGACTGGGACGGGTGGCGTCGTCCTGTTATCCAGGAGGTTGTGGATATTTATAGGCATGCACTGTGGATGCGATACTCTCTGGTGTGGATTAACGTCCGCACGAGTGAGTACTACGACTATCCGCAGTACTATCCTGATAATTAGACCAAGTCGTATATACCAAGGCGAAAATGTGGTTCAGATTCCACTATAAACTGTAGGTCCCTTAGTTGCCATTAGCTGTATGGGCATACTATATTTAAGCGGGTATAATCAACAGCTGTGTCTAAGGAATGTCGGCCTTAGTCACTAACAAGACAACAAGATCGCACAGCTCATCCTACACTCATCTCCATTCATACTTGGCTTAAAATACCTACTTTGTATGGTCGCCATTTCATCGAAAAAGTATTAAAAAAAGAATTAAAAAAGTGTTTAAAACATATGCTTTTGGATTGGAGAAATGTGAGTATAAGTCCTTAGTTTACAATTTTAAATGCCTTTTGAACGTTCATAGCTTTACTTGCATAAAGATACTTTACCTATAATTTAAAACTGTAGTTCAGGCACACTTTTAAAATACACTGTAAAAACTTAGATAATTGGAGCCATAAAAAAATCACAACCGTATTGTTTTGAATCTGCAGACAACTCCTAATAGAATGCGCTAGGGTCTAAAATTATTTTGTAACTTATTTTTTTTATTGCTGACCAGGTTGATGCAGGTTGCAGGTTGATAACAGTTGCTTATGCTCACCATAAGTCATTCCCAAAGTTTGACTTTTTGTATTTGATATTACTTCATTTTGTGTATTTGTTTAGATCAGCAAAATCTGTCGGTGGCTCACATCAAATACGATGATTTTGAAAAAAAATCTGGCTACAAATTTAACATGAGGATGGAATGTCTAGTTGTATTAATAGTCAAAGCTGAGACTTCCTATTCAATACTAAAAACCGTAGCCAGCAAAATCACCTAGAGGAGATCAGCAGAACTAGTTCAGTACTTCTATGCGGTGTCACTCGTAGTGATAATGGCTGGAAGCTCGTGTTGACTTGACTCCTCCTTAAGGATTTGCAGTCAATGGTTGTAGTCTACAACACTCTAGACACTAGCACTCGTAGTTTCAATTCGACGTGCTACTTTAGGGCCAGCAGTACAACTGTCTCGCCGCGAAATACGTCGAAGAGCCACCCTTTTTGGTTGTTATCAATGGGTTAGCACCTAAAATGAGGCACTTTAAGAATATTTTTATCATTCTGTTTTACCATATTATAACTTACTATGATATCAAAATAATATACCTTTATTACAAACTGTAGCTTTATTTTGATAAAAATGTGAGTTTCAAAACTTAGTTCTCCCCAGGAAAGTTATGTACCTGGTTGCATGACATGATGTAGATATACAGGGTGTCCATAAAAAACGTTTCAGGACTTTGGGAAATGAATCCCCATACTAAAAGGAAGAAAAAAGTTTATGGGAAGGTATGTCCGAAAATGCATATTAACCCAGATATCCGCCATTTTGTTTTTTATACAAAAATATTTTTATCTGTGAAGTTTTTTATTCGACGAATATGAAATTTGGTATACATGTTAATATACACAAGACCTATAATAGAAAAAATAATAAAGTTGTTCCGATTGTAAATTTCAAAATGGCGGCAGTTTGAATTTTTCTAACTTAAATAACTCAAAAACGGCTAATTCTATGAAAAAATGTCAAGAATACTTTTTTTTAGCATTTTTAATTTCCTATCAAACGATACCAAGATCAAAAAGATCGGACAAAAGATAACTGAAATATAACGTTTTTTGTGTAAAAATAAGGCAAAGTTAGTAGAGGAACCCTTAATTTTTGCCTTATTTTTACACAAAAAACGTTATATTTCAGTTATCTTTTGTCCGATCTTTTTGATCTTGGTATCGTTTGATAGGAAATTAAAAATGCTAAAAAAAAGTATTCTTGACATTTTTTCATAGAATTAGCCGTTTTTGAGTTATTTAAGTTAGAAAAATTCAAACGGCCGCCATTTTGAAATTTACAATCGGAACAACTTTATTATTTTTTCTATTATAGGTCTTGTGTATATTAACATGTATACCAAATTTCATAATCGTCGAATAAAAAACTTCACAGATAAAAATATTTTTGTATAAAAAACAAAATGGCGGATATCTGGGTTAATATGCATTTTCGGACATACCTTCCCATAAACTTTTTTCTTCCTTTTAGTATGGGGATTCATTTCCCAAAGTCCTGAAACGTTTTTTATGGACACCCTGTATAAACTTTTTAACCTCTTTTAGATATACCTCTTTTAACCTTGCCTTTGCCTGTCCAAATAGACTAGAGATCTGTGCTTGGAACGTATCCAGCAAAGCAAGGGGTGAGCCGGTATAGAAAAAAGGTGAATTGACGAACTTTACTGATAAAATGTTTGCGGCAGTGACCAGGATCCAAACCCACGTCAACACTGCCTTGGGCCCGAAGTCCGTGACGCTACCAACTCATCAGAGTATGTTCCCGTAGTTGGATGTGTATTGTGCTTGCTTTGTAGACAAGTTAAGATCACCACATCTCCCAAACAAAATAAAATAAAGACTTTGATAATAGTATAGTAGGCTATATTACGCTAGTTACTAACTAGTCCGGAAAAAAGGTGTTTACCGGACGAGTGTGGTCGTTCTCATGTGAAACGAATACGAGTGTGGGTTTTACCATACGCGTCTGGTAAACACATTTTGAACGAATTACGGACAATATTTTCACCACACTACGATTGCTTTAGCCGTTTTACAAACGTTAATTGGAGGCTGAAAGCTACGTATTGTTGTCCATGCCAGCTGTCATCGTCATTTGGGGACCGATCAGGTTTTTGCAGCCCTAGGCCCAAAAATCAGGTGTTTGCTTATTTACTTAAAATATTAGTGTATGCATACAAAGGATGTTACAGTATCAATATGAATTGCATTAAACTTGTTTTTTTGTCACTGTCACCGCTGCTTAGCAACTATTTATTACTATTTTCAATGATTCCTCTAAATATTTCTCCATATAACCTTAAAGTTACAATTGTGTTGACTGTTAGTGTGCATACTGTATGTAGGTATTTTCTCAATTTTGTATAGTGTGGTGAAAAATAGCATTCGAACGAAGGGCTGAAAGGGTGTTGCCGACTCGAGATAATTTTTTAAGTGCAAGACAAAGTCAAGAACTTAAAACAATTGAGAGCTCGTTTTACAATTAAAAAATGTGTATAAAAATTTTAAACTAGGCCTAATTGTAAATATAAAAATAGAATTTTTAAAATTCCATTTACCGACACCTAGCGGCCGAACTCATTTTCGGCCCTACTACTACTACTCTAAACTAACCTAAGAATTAATATACCCCTGCTGCAGCAAACCTGCAAACTAAGCAAACTTCCATTTGCCTTATTGGATTTTTACTAAAATTTCTCTTTTAAAAAGTCATAATTATTCCGTATTTAAAATATCATTAGTTTAACGAGTACCTGTCTAGGTTTGCTGCTACAGGGAAGGTTATAAATTGATTTATAGTAAATGTTAATAGTATAATTAATAAAATAAATTAATGTAATAGAGTTAATTAATTAAATATCACTGCATTTGCAAGGTTGGTCATTCTTATAACTGAAAATTCCATGCACTCACAGAAAATATTTTTAATTTTGAAAGAAATAATCAAAACTGAACCAAGTTCATACTTGATGATGTAATTATTTACCTCAATAAATTGGAGGTAGGTGATGATATTAAAATATTCAATCTTAGAGCAGTTATTATTTGCTATTGTATTGATTCTTGCAGCATAATTATATCAGTGATATTATAGAATGTAAGGACGAATGAGGGTTTAAGCAAAATATTTGTTTGTAAATAGTATTTAGTAATTACAAATGTACATTACAGAAAACACGTTATTTTATGAGTCTCTCGTCAGTTTAGGTCTTCATCATCAAACAGGTCATCAAAATCTGAAACATAAAAAAATATAACTTGTATCAAATAAATAGAAAACGTTACACATTAACATTTTTTTAAGGATTCCTGTTTCTGGTTTAAGGATATGTAAAAAGTAGTATCATTGACTATTTATAGTCAAAGGTAGTATAGTCCTGAATCAGATGGGAAACTCACAATGAATCTATCTATAACATTTTGTTCCCAGTCCTTTGAACACTGTTCAGAAAAAGAAACTCTTCAAGGTTGTCTAATTAGTAGGTTGTTACTACTGTGCTGTAAGTTAAGACCATTATTTAATCAGAGTTCAAAACAAATACTAAGTGATAACAGTCTAGTAAACTAAATACTTTAACGCAGTAGTTTTAGGTTATTAACGGTTTCATTTTAAGCAGATCCAGCTCTTAACCTGTCCCAGACAGGAAATGTAGGCGATGCCGGCACTCACCGGTGAGCGTGTAGCGTGGCAGAAGGAACTAGAGCACTCACCAATGAGTGGCCCGCAGCGAACGTGTTTAAACACCAAATTTTGTATATAAGTCCCATGTTACACGAGCAGCTTTGTCGCGGCAGATAAAACGCTCTTGTTGATCACAAATAACGCCGCGTCATCAACACATACGCTCGGTGGTGGAGCTGTTATGTGACGATTGATTGCTACTGATTTGTAACGGGTGTGGGGTGTATGTGTAATAATGGAAAAGTTGTGTGGATAGATGAGGGCTGAAACATGAAATATATATATGTATATTAAATTAATTAATTAGATAGGCTAATTGAGGAATTAGGCAGTGCTGCAACTGTCTTTTTTAAAGGGAAGGTTTTACCCTGAGGCTGATCTGATTGTGCCCATTGCCGTAAACACCCTAAGCCAGCTTTCATTAGCTGTGATTTAGTAATATCTATATAATTAATACGCTACATGAAACTTTGTCGGTTGAACTCCTCCGCCATTTCTTGATCGATTTTATCCATTGACGTCTCATTGGAAAGAGCGTGTCACGTAGATTTGCAAACTGCATTTTTGAACAAGTCCCTTGGGCTCTGCCCCAGTGGCTTTGACAGTTCCCATGTTATCCTTATGAAGAACATAACTGTTTACATTTTGATCAGCTGTATAATTTAATTGCTGATATTTATTTTTCAATTCAATGAAACGCATTGAGTACATTTATTTACTATTTGAGTTTGTGTAAGCATAACCCCCAAGACGGATTGTGTTGTTTTAGTATGGTTGTATCTTAAATTTGTGCATTTATCGTTGTTTTGTGTAGCTATAATTTGTTTTTGTGTTGTTTTTTTTTTAATTCTCAGCACCTGACCCTGGACAATCTCAACTATTAGGTTACAAATGCGTCCTAACACTAGGCCTACCCCAAAACAACTTTTTGTTCTCAATTGGCCCTCTATCAATGACCTGTGTTGTCTGTACATCGAGGCATTTTTAGAAGGAGAAAACCGGCCGGAATGCTTTAGGTTTATCAATAACGAAGATAAACATGGTCTGAGTTACACACCGGTATTTTTTGAGTTGACTCTTTTAAACTCATTGTAAATATGACTGTTATTCATTTTGAAATAACTCCTGTAATACTTTGCGATTGCTCGAATTCGAGCAACATGTACACTAGTTTATAACTAAACCACTACCTGAAAATCTAAGTGCTGCGTTGATATGAATTAACCTAATAAAGAACTTAATAAGATAATAAAAATTAATTAACAACTTAATCAACTTAATAAGACATAGACAAAGACATAGACATAGACATATTTTATTTGCACATAACATTCTTTACATGTGTTACATACAGAATAGGTGCATTGTCAGAGTTCGAATTGTCAGAATATAAAAAATAAAATAGTAATCAAGATGATAGTATAATTAACAAAATTGAATGATAAAACTATTCTAAACTAAAGGGGCATTGTGAAAATCTGCAATTAAATAAAAGGTTCTGTCAATTAAGAGTTCACCTATTTTATCTTTAAAATTATTTTCATTTAGCAATTTATAGTTTGCAGGCAGCACATTGTACAGCCTCAGCCCAGCATATAGTGGACTTTTTTCATAAAGGGTCAAATGGTGCCTTGGAAATCTAAAAATGTTTTCATTTCGAGTATTATATCTATGGTTGATTTGAATTGATTCTGGGAGGTCGTTTTTAGCTGAATGAATGTAGTTTAGTGATTCCAAGATGTACAGTCCTGTTAGGGTGTGGATTTTTAAATTTCGAAAAAGGTTTTTGCATGAACTACGTGGAAGAGAGCTGGTCATAATACGGATAATGCGTTTTTGTAGCCTGAATATTGATTTGACTCCGGTAGCCTGACCCCATAAGATTATACCATACCTCAATACTGATTCTACATAAGCATGATAAACCATTTTCAGAGTTTCTTTAGGAACACAGTCCCTTAAGTGCAGAAATACAATTGACATGGATCTAAGTTTACTTTTTAATTGATTCAGATGTACATCCCATTTAAGTGATTCGTCTATGTAAACACCTAGAAATTTATGAGACTTTGCCAATTTAAGGGATTCAATTTTATTACCATTGTTTCTGACAGAAAATTTTATTGTTTGCGTTTTTTCAAGATTAAGTTTTAATCCATTGTTCAAGAACCAACCTTCCATGTCATGAACCACATTTTCAAGAGAAGATAGCATTTCAGAAGTACTATTATTTTTTATCAAGGCTGTTGTATCATCTGCAAAAAGAATTAGTTCCTGATCAATAGCTTTAGGGAGGTCATTAATGTAAATTAGAAAGAATAGAGGACCTAAGATTGAACCTTGGGGGACACCTGCCGATAGGTTTTCCCATGGCGAATAGTACTTGATCTTATCCAGTGTTATTACAGTTCTTTGTTTTCTATTAGAAAGGTAAGAACTCAATAGAGAGTGACAACTTCCCCTAATACCATAATCACTCAGCTTGAGCTGAAGGACTGAGTGATCAACACAGTCAAAAGCTTTGGACAGGTCACAGAAAACACCAGCTGTAGCCTGAGACCCGTCCAAAGCCTGGGTAACCTCATTTATAAACTGTGTTAGTGCAGAACCTGTGCTTAAATTTTTCCTGAATCCAAATTGTTTGTTATAAAATAGATGATTGCTTTCAAAATAACTAACCAATCTCAAATTTATGACCTTCTCAAATATTTTAGAAAAATTACTCAATACAGAAATTGGACGGTAATTGTTAATATCCGATTTTAGGCCCTTTTTAAATATTGGTGAGATTTGGGAAAGTTTTAGTTTATCCGGAAAAATTCCATGTATTAAACACTGGTTAATAATTTGAGATAAAGGTTCAGCAATGATATTAACAGTGGCTTTTATCAATTTAATTGGGATCTCATCCCAGCCGATTTGTTTTTTAGTGACAGAACAATCTTTTTGATTTCCTCCACATTAGTTAGCCTGAGGCTGCACAATGATATCCCATTATCATTACAGATATGTTTCACTGAAGCATGGACTCCATTGACAGTAGCCTTTTGAACATTTAAGTTACTTACTGTATTCGAAAAAAAATTGTTAAAAACTTTAGCAATACTTCCAGGATTACCAAGCTCATAACCATTTGTATCTTTCAAAACTATTCTTTCTTTTGGTTTTTGGTTTGTATTGCCAAGCTCTTGATTTACAATTTGCCAAGCTGCCTTAGTTTTGTTTTCTGATGTTTTTATAAAATTGCTATTCGCTAGTAATTTTGCTTTTTTTACAACTTTGTTAAATATGTTTTTATAATGCTTAACATATGTAATAAACTGTTGGTCATTACTGAGCTTGGCTTGCATGTGCAATTGTCGTTTTGTTTTACTTGAAATTTTTATACCTTGAGTAATCCAGTTTACAGAGAAAGACTTGGTTTTAGAATTATTACTATTATTTTTAAGAAACTTTGGAGGAAATATAGAATTAAAAGTCAAAAGAAAATCACTTAAAAAGTTGCTAAAGTTTTCATTTGGGTTCAGGACTGGATCAAACATAACATTCTTTACATGTGTTACATACAGAATAGGTGCATTGTCAGAGTTCGAATTGTCAGAATATAAAAAATAAAATAGTAATCAAGATGATAGTATAATTAACAAAATTGAATGATAAAACTATTCTAAACTAAAGGGGCATTGTGAAAATCTGCAATTAAATAAAAGGTTCTGTCAATTAAGAGTTCACCTATTTTATCTTTAAAATTATTTTCATTTAGCAATTTATAGTAAAATTTATATTTTGGTTTAGATATGTACAAAATTCATCAATTTTTCTATTTGAAATTATTCTTTTGGTATAGGAACTTGTATTATTATTATTACCAGTAGTCAAAATATTCTTATATTGCCCAGGGAGGCTCAGGAATATGGCGTTATGGTCAGATAAACCTAAATCAGTATTCAGTTTATGGTCTACTTTATACATTTTTTTTGTAATCATGTTATCTATACAAGTAAATGAATTGGCAGTTATTCTAGTTGGCTCATTAAACTGCAAACAGAAACCATTACATTCAACAATTTCCTTAAACCTACTTGTGATTGCATCATCCTTTAAAATGTTTATATTAAAATCCCCTGTTATAAAAACATTTTTCCTTTTGGCTTTTTTTTGTAAACTAACAAGTAGCTTTTCAAGTTTGTCCAAAAACAATTTACTTGAATTATAATTTGGCACTGTATAAATGGAAAAAAATACTGAATTGAAATCTACAAGTTCGATAGCAGAACATTCAAAAATAAAATCTTCATTTAAATAAGAAAACTCCTGTACAGTTAAGTATTTACAATTATTATCAACTAATATACATGAACCACCCCTTAGGCTACTATTTCTTACATAAGAGTCAGCAATTCTAAAATTATCTATTGTATTGAGTAAAGAAATAGAATCATTATCCAACCAAAGTTCATTTAATGACATGACTTTAATATTTAATTTAGACTGTGATAAAAATAAATTGAGCTCTGATATTTTAGTAGAATTTAACCCTTGACAATTGTAGTG